GGATGCATAGCTACAACATGTGTCTGCTCTACTGGGAGCCGGTCCGCCCCTCACTCTGCACTTGGCTGCTAACGACAGAAGACCACAAACCCCCTACCGAGTGATTTACTGAAGAACGCTGTGCTGTCCATCAAGTGGGTCCTGTTTGAGAAGAGAACTCTGAAGGACAATCTAAAGCTGAAAGAGCTCGGTCTGGATCAACCAGACGCCGCAGCTTAGCAAATGAGCACAGAGAAGGGCATAGCCTACAATATACGCAGATGTTTTCAAGAGCATGGTATGCGCGCAAAGCATGGCTAAGTGGATGTCCAAAGAGTAAGGCCCTTTTATGTAAAAAATGTAATTCCGGCTACTGAAACAGTCAACAAAATCTGTTTGTATTAAAGTAAAGTATATAAACCATATATAATTTATCATAGTGAGACACAACATAAAAGCCAGACTAAAAAAAAAGCTAACAGACGATGTTCATGCCACAGTGTTAGAAATCAATAAATTTCAAGGCAGGGTGAAAACGTCCTGGATAAATCCTGAAAAATGATTTCTAGCAAAGAGTGGAAACCCTGTATTTGTTCACCCAGTTTCAATTCAGGTCCACTGAAATATCAAATACAATAAAATTGTTCTGTATTTAAAGCAAATGTTTGTGTTGTTTTCCTTTTGCTGATCATATTGATATGCAGCCTGGTTTGTTGTAAATGTGGGTCTGCTTTTTACTTTTTTTCTGCTGTTGTCTTCATATGCTCCTTTGCTGTAGCCCAACCTGTTGAAATACAGGTGAATGTACACAAGTATGCTACTGTCAGTTTCTATATTATAGGATTGCAGTGAATGTAAGTAGGCTGTGTGACGCTACAGTGCCCTAATATTAATTTGAAATAAGGTTTCCCCACCCCATTTGTCTTTGTAGGTCAAGATTGTATGTTTCCTTAATTATTTTCTTATGCTTCATTTACATTTGAAAACCAAAAAAAATCTTCTGGGGGAGATCACCCCTGGACCCCCTACAGGGCTCTGTTTTCCAAATCTTAAGCCCCACCCACTATTTTCCTCACCAGCCGCCACTGGTCCACATGTAAGGCTAATCCTGTGTTAGACCTACACCAATGTTATCGAAGACAATCTTATCTCAGTCCGCGGCAGAGGAGGAACATGGCTTAGCTAGACTGACACATCACTACCAGACACAATGGGTACAACGTCTTACACAGGAGAAGGACATGCCTGCTGCAAGACTCACTTCCTCGCCAAGATTAGACAAAACCCTTTTTTAATCAGGTCATTTTCTACAGGAGTGAAAGTGAAACACATTGATTTCGTTGCCCTTGTGAATAAATCGGATATTCTGCCCTCACTAGGAGTGGGCTCCAGCTTGGCAGATAGCTAACAGGTCCCCCGAATAAACATGCAGGAGTCAGCAGGTACGTTGTGATGTTTTGGTGTTTACTTCCAGAAGCACTGTAAAACTGTAACACAATAAATACAAATACAAAATTACAAATTATTCTCAACTCTTTCATTCAATCAAACACTAGTTATTAACTGTCATATACAACACAATCACCAACAAACATGTGTCTAAGTTATCAGTCACTACCTTGATCTTGCGATTAGCTTAATGCTAACGTTATATGGAAAACGCTGTAGAACGGCTAACGTGTTAGTGTCGCTCCAGTTTTTAAGTTTACCACGCCATCAAAAACTGATTCAGCATACAATCACAGGTACATTCAACAAGGTGAGGTAAGCATTACTTACAGACATATGTCCCTTACAAAAAAAAGGGAGAAAAGAGAGCATGGAAAACACACATTCTCAATAAGACGTCTCTACTCGGAACTGAACTACAGCAAGTCTGAACGGACAAAAAAACACCACAGCCAATTTCCCTAACTCTCAAGGGGGCAGCACATGGGACATTTCATGTTCAGTAAAATAACTTTGGGGGGGTCATAGGGCTAGAGAGAGGGTGAAATTTCCAAAGCTGGGGTTTTGAAGATGTTTTCATTGATAGTAATTCCTGTGTCAGGATCACTTAGGAGGTGATAAATGGTGAGCTGGTTAAATGAATTGTGGTTGTTAACAAAGCACAAGTTAAGAACCCCAAAACAGTCCTGTGTGGCATTGAATTCTGCTGGTTACACAAGCAGGGCTCTCAAGTTTTGAACTAAGCTTGGAGTGAGATTTACTTTTTTTCTTTTTCTTTCTTTTTTTTTTTTTTTTTGGGGGGGGGGGGGGACTAATCCTTTGGATCATCAGCATAACATTCTCATGAATATCATAATTTTAAAAAGAAGATATTAGAAATGCATCTTTTCCACAGAAAAAAAGATGGACTTTGAGGGAAATAGCTGGAAATGGCTGTACAGAGGCTAAATCCGTCAATGCAGCCCTATGCAAATTCTATTTGAATAGGGCTTTAGTTTATCATATGAGTCTATTTGCCATGCAGTGTTGAGGCCTGTGCAGGTGTAGGTTACTGACTTACTCTAATGATTGGATATTTCTCGTGCTTACGAAACCTGCTTTATTTCAGCGTCTGTCTTCAAAATCTAACCGGATACAGCAATGCTACTTTTTGATTGGTTGTTTGGTAGATATACTTTATTTCGTTAGCTTATGGGTGGCACGCAGCCTCTTTACTCTCAAGGGAACTGACTTGATTTCTACATGTTCCATTGTTAAAAGGTTGCAACTTGGTGGACGTCACCGTGGTAACATTAATGCGTGAGAAATACAATATGTGGCGTGTGAACGGGTGGGAATGCGTGTGCCACACACCGAATGCATGAGACTTGAGAGCCCTGCACAAGGTTGCCAATTGCTCAAACCATCATCATCATCAGACTAGCATCCTGCAGTAACATAGGTATCCCTGCTTTACAGAAACGGTGCATGTTTATTTAGGACTGATGCTCACGAGATGTAATCAAACAGACCTTTTCTGTCTTACTGCCCTGCCCAGTCTCTGGTTGGTGGGTGTAGCTGCATCACAGAAGTGAATGCTTGGCACTGAACCAAAGTGAGTGCTCACTAATAGTTGGGGTTAGATGTACCTGTTATCTCACCAAAGGTGATAATCAAGTAACCAGGGGTCCGTTTCACGTAGGTGGTTCAACAAACTCTGAGTCAAATCCTTAACTCTGAGTTGATCTACTCTGAGATAGGAAACTCTGAGTTTCCGGTTTCACAACACCCGATTTGAGTCAGTTTTAGCAACTCCGAGTAGTCTGACCTGGAGTTAAACACGTGCACGCCAGACATAAACAGCCAGCATCTGTGGAGCCCAGATTCATTGATCAACCAATGGAAACAGGGAGAAGGAGGGGGCAGCAGCAAGCCAACGGCGAATCACAGCATGTTTTTAAAAGAGAGTGCAATACAGCAGCAGCTGCAAAGGAGAGGGAGAGGGCATGGGAGGAAATTGCTGCTCGCGTCAATGCGTAACTTTAAATCTAGTCTTGTGCAATCACAATGACAGACTGTTGCAGGGGAAACTGCGTGCATGGAGCAAATTAATTTATTTTATGTAGGTGCAATCCAGCGGGTCAAAAACGCACTTGGCAGCAGCTGAAAATTAAATACAAAAACATTGTGCAAACAGGTGAGACATCTGCATTTTCTCATTTTGATCATGTTTTACATTGTCAAGTAAGTATTAAGTGGCAGTTTGATCCCTTAGAAAATGCTCTTTTCACACTCAAAAATGAATTTTACTCTCTTATGATGTTCTATTAAATGATAAGGAATATTAAACTAACACAGACTTTCATTCAGCAAACAGAAAGAGGGCAGATGGAGGCAGAGGAGCCCCCCACCCCCCCAATGTAAAACATGATCAAAATGAGAAAATGCCGATGTCTCACCTGAAACTCTGGGTTTACTGAGTTAAACCTGCTCCTGAGCAGGTTAGGTTCACGGAGTCTGTTACTATGGTAACTGACCGCGAGGTTGAGTTACCTCTCTTTGTGAAACAGGTTAGAGTTACCCCTCTCTCTGTGGTTTAACTGACCCTCCTTTGTGAAACGGAAAACTCAGAGTTTCCCTGATTTCAGGGTTAACAGACTCTGCGTTTCCATTAAACCTGCTACGTGAAACGGACCCCAGGTGGCTTGTTTTCTTACATTGAAGACTGCAGTGTACCAGCACAGACCACAAGCCTAAGCAGAGCAGGAAGAACACACTCCCACTGTTCAGTGTGTCTGTTAGCTCCACATGTTACATTTACATGAGGTTAATGCATGCAAAGCTGTCAAGGTACAATTATATGACAACTCACTCAAAGTGAGGTCTACTTTACATGTGTAAACACAAACAGTGTGGTGAGACGCCTCCTCATCCTGTTTTATTTTGGCTGGACTTCCTGTTTTTCCCTGTTTGCCTGGTCTGGCTGTACTCTTTTCCAGAGCTTCCTCCCCTCCCCCGGTGCTGAGGCTGAGTGAGACGACACACCTGCTCCTCATCTCCAATTAAGGGACTTTAAGAAGCCTGCAGCCCTCAGTCTCAGCGCCTGAGTATTGTCTACCCTTCCTAGCGGTACAGACGTGTCTCCTGGCCTTCCTCTGTGTATCAGTACCAGAACTTTGCTCCTAGTGACTCTTTTCATGTTCATTATCTCCTGTCTCCTCTGGTCTTTTCCTGCAGTGTCTCCAGCCCCCACGACAGCCAGCTTCCCGTGTACCAGCCTACCGGACTTCCTCGTTTGCTTTTCAATCCTGAGTTTGGAAATTAAAATTCACTTTCAGTTGATCTCAGTCTCTGTGTCTGCATCTGGGTCCTCACTACAAACCTGCCACACAACAAACAGAAGAGAGCTCATCAGCCTTCACTTCAGCTGTAAAAAAGCAAATCTGTGATTTGTGTGTGTGTGTGTTTTTCTGGAGTTTCCTGGCTGAGAGGTTTAATTTTTTCAGTGAGTTTTTTTTTTGTTTTGTTTTGTTTTTGTGAAAGTTTAAATCATTATCCTGCACTTGGTATTTTCCTGTCATGTTATTAGCATTGGTTGGAACTGGTCTTGGGGCACTGGGTCCATCCATACCTAATGACTACTGATGTTTCTTAAGCTGTATTCAGATACTGTCTGAGTGGAAGGGTGTTGACAACAGATGGTACTGGAAAAAGCTACACATCTGCATAGAAACTGTATGTTGTTGAATGTATGATAAGTCTGTACACCAATAGACAGTTTAAACCATTTTTTCTCTCTCAGAGCCCCAAATTAAACAGACCACACTTTCAATGTTTCACTCATATAAAACTGTTGGAGAATATTAACCTTAAAAAAAGCTAAAAAAAAATAAAAGATAGTGTAAAACCTAAGGTAAGGTGATAAAGGTACATATTTTTTATTGACTTGAGTTGTGTCTGCAACTTTTACCCAGAAACGCTTCACTAAACATGTGCAGGTGGGCCAGACTTGTTGCATAAAACGTATTTCAGAAAAATGCAATGTCTAAATTTTAGCTGCTGAAGCTAAGCCATAACTAGACTTTTAAAACTTCTAAATCAACCTGTTGGAATAAACTCTCAGGGTCATTTTTACAGCCATGTCTTTTAGGCTGCAGGCGTTAGAAGAGAGGTAACTTTACTCTACAGGCCTCCACACAATAGTGCAGTGGTGAAAAAGCCTCTGTCAGGCAGTGTTTTACTGCTGTTGCTACAGCTGATCCCTTGTTACGGAACCCAAGTATTACCATGTCATCTTAAGTCTTGGTATACTCACTGCAGCTCGGTGGTTGCATTTGATTCACTTGTTTTCCACATTGCAGTGTGCCAAGACAATGGTTAGCTGCAGAGCGCTCTCAAGGGGCATGACTCTCTCAAGTTTGGAGCCGAGCAGCCTTTCTTCCATTTAATGAGGCCTGTCTTTTAAAATGAGAGACGGGAGAGAGTGAGAGAAACTTATCCTCTGCTCTGTTCTGTCTGAGCAGCTGCATCTGTGGTTTTCTCCTCTGTGGTTTTGGGAGTCATGTCCTTTAGTCAATCTACCTCTGATGCAGTGTTTAATGGCAGCTCATCTAAGACGGCCCAAGACAGACAGCAAAGGAGAGAGTCAGACACACACCACTGGCAAAAAACTAACATGCTACAGAAAGATCTACAGCACATCATTCAGACACAAAATGACTCTTACTGAAAGCTGTTGGTTGGCTGACAGACAATCAATAATCAAGAACTATGGCAAAATGAGCCTAATGGAACTGCAGTATTCAGGGGTGCATGTAGACTATTTTGAATTACAACTGCTTTAGAGTTACATGGCACCGGGCTCCTCCATAGTAACCAAAATACCACTCAATATTTAGCCTCAACCTCCACCTGCCAAAAAGTCTGAGAGTAGGACTTGATACCCTGACTCAACTAGACATGCAGGAGCTCAGCATGGAGAAGTAATCATAAGAGAGTAGAAGAGAGAAGTCATAAAATTCAAGTGTGGTGTGGGAGCCAGGGCCTGTGGTGATGCTGAGGTGCAGGCACTGAAAACAAATTGAGAGAAAGTGAAAGACTCCACATAGCAATGCTGTGTAGGATTATATTAATAAGACAGGATTGTATGGATCCAGCTTTCTCTTTCTCACAACTATCCACTGTTCACAAAGACTGACAAATAACTGCACACTGACACAGCTGCTTCTGCTAAAACTGTAGATGAATGTGCTTGATTTGAAGTCCATGATCAAACTTTTGGGCCACTTAGACCTGTTTAATATTTCCCAGTGGCTCCTTCGGTTCTCTGTTGGGCTTGTGGATCCTCTACTCTATAAGCTACCTTGTTTTGGTTTCATCAGGCAACATAACTGCTCTCTCTTTAACTGCTTTCTGGAGGTAAAGGTGCATACAGAGGGAACAGGTATGAGGATACTGGAAAAGAGGAAGGGACAAACTGAGTGGAAGACGAATGGGGGGACTCATCACTGGCAGTTAGTTCGTAGTTGTGTGACCTTCATATGTGATCTCTCTCAGGGCAGGAGTACTTCTATCATTTTCTTAACTGTGGGTCTATGTGTAGATCCGTTGTATGTGCAGAGAAGAGATGAATTTGTTTTAAAAATTGGTTTATTTGATTAGACCCACTGCAAGCAATGCCTGTCCTAAAGGGGGATTTCACTTTGCTGAAAATAGTTGTGTTGTTTTAAAACACAACTACAAATCGATAATTACAACTGCAAAAATCTTCTCCAGGAGTCACAGATTATGCTTCCTTTCGACAGCTACAAATCGAAGTTGCTGCATTCTTTGGTGCAAAAGGCGGTCGCTAATCTGAGATTGACGGGTTTTACAACCAATCAGAAGTGATAGCAATTCATCACAGCCAATTAGAGGAGACAAGGCTCTCTACAAGGAGAGTGAGAACCAGCAGTAGATGGGGTCTCTGCCGTACCGCGTCGGCCACGCACTCATAGCACTGGCCTAATGCGAGGTAAGTTGTGGTCACATAAATAAACCCCACACAAAGTTAGAAGTCTTGCATCCTGTCTAATCTCATCAGTTTTGCTAGCTGCAGTTTTGCTAGGACAGCTAGCAAACTTTTATGAAACTTTATCTGGTAAAGTTTCATAAAACCGTGGCTAGCTGCTCAGCGCATGTACAGGTTTTAGCCTTTCATTTATGATGTGTGACAGCAGAAACAAGTCTCATTGTCTCACTCTTATTCACCCCTTTTCTAGCAAAATGACGGGTTCAGGTGGTTCATCCCAGGTAAGTGTTACATCAAGTGCATTTAACTAGCAATGAAATGGCACCTAATGAGTTTTTGTTATGGATCTTTTTCTCCTGTCCAGGCAGTTTTTCTAAAATACATCCTCAACAGGCTGTACAACTGCCTATCAGGCTGGCTTGAAAGGGCCCCTTTAGATTATGATTTTCTTGAGTTCATCGTTTCTCAGGAGCTAGTCAAACTGAGTGCATGTTTGGGTCAACTTCAGATCCCTGAGAATATTCTCAGTGCGTGGACAGAAGTGCATGGCCTCCTCGCTGCTCAAAATGTACCAAATCAATCTGTTGAAGTTTATCTGGAGAGAGGAGAGATTGGTCGCCTTAGATTTATTTTGAGCCAAGAGTATGGCTGTGTCCGATATGGCATACTACTCCTACTACTCCTACTAACCCTGCCTCTGAATTGAGTAGGCAGTGCATTCACACTGTACAGTATGCAAATTTTGTGTATGCGAGAAATGCCCGGATGTATACTCAATTGTCTTCGATTTCTGAGTGTGGAACGGAGCTTGCTTCACGTACTGCTTCTGCCCCACAATGCATTGCGCACCTCAGCTGGTAATATGGCCCTCTTTCCCGAGGCTGAAAAGAAATAGATGGCAGGCATGTGATTGCAATAATAATTATATATATATATAAATAGATAAACAATATTTAGTCAGTATACATTACACAATTTTTATCATTTAATCATATTTTGATCTTTTTACCAGATTTATTTGTATTTTAAATTAGGATTATAGGTAATGTTTTTAACTATTCGTATAAATTGACTTTATTTATTCAAGTGTCTATTAAAGATGTATTTATTACATCAAGTTTGAGCATCTTCTCATCTCTGAATGCATCATCAAAGTGGTCACTCATATTAAGCACAGACCTCTGATTAATAAAAATTATTATTGGTAGAGAGCACATGGTTCAGAATATACAAACGGGGGAGTTTCCAGTTGACAATGTATGTGAGCTTTACTAATTCTTACTTGTGGTTGAAAATCTGATGGTTTCTGAAATTATCATTGTACATGAAAAGAATGTAGTCAGGAAATGATGTATTTGCTGAGGAATAACCGAACAAGGTCATAATAATTATGTTGTGTGTTGGTCATTTTGCAGCCCTCTGCTGCTCATCACACGCCTAGCAGGTGGTGTATAGCATTATCACCATGGATACACAGATGTTTGTGTGATTTTTTTCATCCACTGCCGCCCGGTTTGTGTCGTGTAGATGTTGATTATGAAAACACTTTGCAATAATTTGGAAACGTGAAGGGGGAGCTGCTGCTGCCCGGTGTTTACGGTAAATAGACGCAAACACCCACCAAGTGGACGTTTCGGTCTCCGAAAACGCCGAGACAAATTTACAAACAGCCACTATTTCAAACAACTGGGCTCATAATCGTGACGTAAACACTTACTTTCTTGCTAGAAAAAATATTATTGAATGAATTTATATAATTTGTCCGGAATGCAGTCGTTATGTGTAGCTTGTGGTAGGACTACTTAAATTTTTCCAGTGCTGCGTCTGGCCGGCACGAAATGCATTCTGGGGTATTTAGTATGCATCTGTATGTAAACGCTCGGGCAGCCGCAGCATACTCAAATCATCTTTGAGTAGTCAGTATGCAGTAAGTACTGCTTGAGTAGGTAAGTAGATAGTAGGCAGTATGCCATTTCGGACACAGCCTATGTGTCTGGTCTCTTAAGTATGGGGCTAACAGTAGGTTGTATAGCCCGTCTTGTAGGGCTGTCCAAGTGGACAGTTCAGAGACGGATGACAGAGTGGGGTCTCTCTAACAGTGGTCTGTACAGTACATTGTCAGATGAGAAACTCGACAGTGTAATCTCAGACATCCACACCACCAACCCAAATGCGGAATACTGCATGATGATGGGACTCCTTCGTGCTGAAGGACATTGTGTCCAGTGGCACCGGATCCGTGCTTCAATGCACAGGGTTGACACTTTGGGGGTTGTAACAAGGATGTCTGCGCTGCGTTGTATGGTGCACAGGACAAATTGTGTCCCTGGCCCCAGATTCCTGATGCACATAGACACCAACCACAAACTTATACGGTTAGTTTTTTTTCTAATGCCTTCTATGTATGTTTTGTTAATGTACAAGATAAATGGGTTGATATTTAATACATTTGTGGATATTCTCAGTCATTCAGGTCATGATAAACCACTAGCTCATTAACCTCATGAAGATGTGAAGACAAAGGTGTTTTGCCTCTCATCTTCTGAAGTTCTGAACCAAAGAAGCTTCTTGGATGAGAGGCAAAACGTCTTCACTCACATGAGGTTAATCCAGTTGCCATATTTTATGCTTGCATTTGGTTGATATTTAAGCATACTTGCTTTACCCGTATCTACAATAAGGTACAACATTGTGATCTTTGGTGGGATCGATGGCTTCTCAAGAAAGGTAAGGATTATAATTTTAAGAATTAGAAGAATGTTGGTTCATGGCCTGGTGATTGTTAAAAGCCAGTTCCATGTTTTATTTTCATTTGGACATGTAGACCATATGTACTTTCTAGGTTTAGTTAATTTATGTTTTTATATTTTCATACTAAATCAATCTTTGAAAATATGTTTTGTTTACAATATGGTATTCTTTGTTATCTTCATAGATTATGTAGGCCAGCACCAATCTTGCGTTCTTCACTGATGCAGTTGACAAGTATGGCTTTCCACAAAGGTAAATCTGATGTTGATATATTCTCTACTGATACAGCTTAACAGTTTTTTCCCCCTGCTTTTAGACCTTAGACAAGTTGGTACCACACTGCTCATACCATCACAGCATGACCAGTCCCCTACCCTTCGGAAGTGCTGGTCCTGCGGGCCGCGGGGTACCAGGAAGGGTGCTAAAGCATTTTCATCAGCTTGTTGCTTTCAGATTCAACCTAACTTAACAATCATTTATGTAACGCTCTTCACAGCACAAGTGCACAGAGTGCTTCACAACCCTTTCAGTATAAATAACATGTCAGAACAATGAAAATGCTGACAAAATGTAAAAGTAGAACCTGCGAAAATAAATAAATGAATTGATAAGTAGTTGGTCACAAGTCTGACAGAGCCTACAGAAAATGTGAGAAAAAAAAATGATAGGAGTCTCCCAACACCTAAACGAAACTACTAAAAGAAAACAGGAGAGAAATGATAGTTAGTCAGGAGTTTCACAGTGCCATAAGAGAACCCGAGAAGAAAATAAGAAGATATCCTCAATTTGTCATTCTTGTGCAGTGCAGAGAACAAAATGTTGTTTCGCAGTACAATTTGTAGTACAATTTTGACAAACACTCAGATGAGTTTTAAATGTGCATAAGGATGATATCAGCTGACACCAGATGCCTCAGTATTACCCAAGCAAAGCCACAAGACCTCATCATCACCAGAGACACCAGGATGATGCAAGAGAAGGAGGCAGAGCAGTAATTAGAGAAAATCTAAAAATAGATAGTCTGAAATGTATCAGCATCTTTCCCCAGCTGTGAGCGTCGGGAAAAAAACAGGCATGCAGCTCTCACAGCGGGAGGTCAGAGGTCAGACCTGCATGTGCTGGAAGCTTGAAAGTGACCAAATACCGATCAGAGGCAAGTTGCCCGTGTCCCGCATGTATGCAGGTGAGGCAGAGGGAAAAGTGGTGTAGGCAACTGACATACTCTACAGATGTCAAACATTTTGATTTGAATCTTTACAAATATTTACTTTTACATCTTTACATCATCCCTTTAGCATACATCTTGATGATTCGTTGTCCATGACATCTCTGTAGCAACATAACAGTAAAGGTGACAAAAAATGCACTTAAAATTTAAGTGATGACTGCCATTGTCAGCAACATCAATATAAATCCCCAAACATTGTCCCTGTCATTTACCCTGTGTTCTACATTATTCTAAATGGTGAACAAAAATCATGTCCTGCAAACAGAATCGAACGACTGTGGAAAGATGTCTACACAGCGGTCACATGCCAGTTCTACACTTTGCTGCACCAGCTGGAGGAAGATGGTCTCTTTGACCTATCCAGCAGTGTTCACCTCTTCTGCTGCCACTATGTATTCATGCCTCGCATCCAAGCTCAACTCAACATTTTCAGAGAGGGCTGGGACAATCATCCTCTTTCAACAGAGCGAAACTTCACCCCTAATTAACTATGGCACACGGGACTACAGCCCTGCTCTGAGGACTTCAGTGATGGGGTAAGTATTTGTGAAGCACTTACTATGCATGAAATGCATATGGATCAGTAATTACTCCCTATGTCACAGGATATACACCTCCCATTGATAGACTGGGAATGTAGTGGTCTCACACCCATGGATCCTGAGAGTGGTGTCCATGTCCCTGAGAGTGACTGTCCTCTTACACCTGAAGGCCTGGCTGAACTTCACACTGCTGTGGACCCAATTGGACCCTCACCATCCATGGGAGTGGACAAATATTTAGCTGCAGTTCAATATATGCAGCAGAAAGGACATGTCTAGAGTCATTATGATTCAGAATAAAGGTCTTACCTGGCTGCTGTAATTACTGCACGAGCTGTACTTTCTACAACATTCCTCCTATATAGATGTGGATACTTCAAATTATATTTCAAAATAAAGCATCAGTCCATTACATTGCTTTATTTCCAATATAACCACAATTAAACAGGATAGTTAAAAAACAGGTCAGTGTCCAGATCTATATGAACCAGAAAGGGTGGTTTTAACTGTCCGTAACCACAATGTCAATACAAAATGGTGACCAATCCATGTGAGTCAGGTAATTTAGGTATTTACACAATACCTGTACATGCTAATGTTGATGTTACTGTAGGCCTTTAAACTTTGAATGAATGGCAACTGACTGAAACAATGCTACAAGATTATCATGTCTTTGTGGTCCTAACTGTTACTCAACTACTTTACAGCTGTCCAAAACCAGTGTCGGATGGAGCAATGCAGGCTTTAAGGTGGGAACAAAACAAGTTATAGTTGCAGTAACTGCCAGGCAAACGAAGAGTGTGGAAGCATGTTAATGATGTTGGATGTTCTCCTTGAACCACTTCCACTCTCATGTCAGGCACGGGTATCTCCCATCCTACCCAGAACTTGACTGGCTGCTTCAGCTCATCTTGGGAAGCTAAAGGTAAAGAGTCAAATTAATTTTTTGAAAATAATTTTCTGTGTACTAGTACTTTGACTTCAGCATAACAGCATGCCTGATTAGCCAAATATACTAGATCATAGATAACAGAACAAGAAGTGTGTAAAAAAAAAAAAAACAGAAAGGTTATTCCTAGGAACAGAATATTAGTATGATTCACCTGTTGAAATAAACTGGCACAAGTATCCTGTGACTCGACACTTGTCCTCAACGGAGACCCCATCGTCCTCTTGTTCAGAGTGTTTTTCTTCAGGCCAAACTATTTTCTGCAGCAGAACCTGTTGGAGATAAACACAGTGGGTACAGAGAGCACTCAGACCCTTCACCATAAGAAATACAAAAGAAATTTAGAGGGTCGGAATACTTTCCATAGCCAATGTATATGTATAGCAACTAAACATAAATTTCATACCTCTATTGCAAATGTAACTTGTAGTACACCACGTAGCAAAAACACAATCACTCAAGTGATATTGTGTTCAATTTTCCTGAATACCTCAACACTGCACACAGCTGCTGATTGACGGGGAAACAATGATGTCACCACATCTGGATGGCTTTCCAGAAGTGGCCAAATAGGAAAATCCTTCAGCCCTTGCTTGAGCTGCTTCACCTGGCACATGTTTCGCCCAAGGCCCTTCAAAATATCATAGTGATAAAATGAATGGACTTTTTCTTGTCAAGGCCATGTTTTTTTTTAATCTTTTAATTCCCATTTCAACCATGGCAATGTACTTTTATGTGCTACCAAACTGTAAAATAATGTACAGTCAGTGTATCATTATTTTATATGATTGAGCTTGATAGTATACCAGATATTTATTCTTAACCTTCCTCGTCCCTGCGTGATTGATAAAATAACTTAATCATTTATATAGCACTCTTTACAGCATGAGTGCACAGAGTGCTTCTCAACAATTTCAAAGTATAAATTAACATGTCAATGATAAAAATGCAGACAAAATGTAAAAGCAGAACCTGCAAGACTAAATAGGTGAATAAATAAATAGTCAGGAGTTTCACAGCGCCTAAAGAAAATTTGAGAAGAGATACATTAGTTAGTCATGTGTCATGTAAGCCAAAGGCCTAGGGCACAAAAGCTTGTCTAAACCAGTGCGTCTTAAGCTGCCCGCTAAAGCTGTCTACAGACATAGCCTCAGTGGACATGCCCACCCACCCTCAGTCCTTAACCACGCCCGTGGCACTGCCTGGAGCCCCTGGTAAGAGTATCTAAGGGACTGGCTGGGGATGTGGTTATGGAGGAGGTCACAAATGTAGCTGGGGGCCATTGAGGGCAGTCATTGAGCAGTCTGGCTGCTGCATTCTGAACCAGATGCAGACGGTGTAGAGAAGACTGGTTAGACATAAGTAGAGAGAGCTGCAGTAGTCAATCCTGGAAGAGACAAATGCATGAACAGCCATCTCCAGCTCCCTGTGTGAAACAAACGACCAGAGCTCCACCTGAGAATGTTCCTCAGGTGGACTGTTGTGACAAAGAGCCTTCACATGTTGGTCAAGATGCATTGACTGGTCAAAGTGCACACCACGGTTCCTAACACTGGGGACGCTGTTCGTCAGAGGGCCCAGATGTTCCTGAACCCTGGCTGCTACACTGTCAGGAACAAAGATCAACACTTCAGTCTTAGCTGCATTGAGTTGCAGGAGTTTCCTGGACATCCAGCCCTCAATGGCAGCCAGACATTCCAGGAGGATGCTGAGGTTCTGCATGTGCTCAGGACTTAAAGAGAAATGAAGCTGGATGTCATCTGCATTGATAGGAGACACCTGGTAAGCTGCTAATGAGATGACCTAGTGGGAGCATGTTGATAGCAAACAAGGTTGGGGCCAGCACTGAACCCTGTGGTACCCCATAGTGAAGAGGAGCAGGATCAGATCTGAAAGGACCAACTGTTATAGAAAAGCATCTCTCACTGAGGTAGGAGGAGAACCACTGCAGGGCCTTTCCAGTCTCTGAGCCTGTCAGGAATAATGGCATGATCAACTGTATCAAAAGCTGCACTCAGGTCCAGCAGGACCAGAATGTTATTAGACACTCTGAGCAGGGCTGTTTCTGTGTAGTGATGTTTATGAAAACCTAAATGGAATTTGACACAATGATATTTCAATTCAATTCAATTCAACTTTATTCATATGGCACTTTTCATACAGAAGGAGATGCAATTGAAAGTGCCTCACAGAGGCTAAAAACAACAATAAAGACAAAAACCCAACCCTTCCACCCACCCAAACACCCATGGACCCACACGCACACAGAGACACACACCCAACCTCACATACACACATACACACAACTGCACACAGTGTGAGAATTTAAGATAAAATTTTAAAGAGACATGGTCTGTGACCAAGACATTACATGAGGAACGAGCTACCTTTAGGAAACACTGGAGATAAAAATAAAGATAAAAATGGTGAAAAGAGTAAAACCTGATGGACTTAAAATAAGAAAATAATAATATTAAATGAACAAATAAATAAAAGGGGTAAAAGAAGTAAAAACCTGTGAAGGGAAATTAAAAAAGGCTAAGAACAGAGATAACGAATATAATGACATAAAATAAACATTAAGAACTTTGATTAAAATGAACATTTGCAGTAAAAGAAGTCTAAAATGGCAATTAGTAAAAAGCCTGGTTAAAAAAGTGAGTCTTGAGCCTCTTCTTAAAAATATCAACAGTCTCTGTGGCCCTGAGGCTCTCCTGCAGGCTGTTCCACAACTGGGGACCATAAAAACTGAACGCCGCCTCCCCATGTTTTTGTTTTGACTTTGTGTAAGGTTAAAAGGCCTGTGCCGGAAGACCTTAGGGTCCGCGAGGGTTGATATGGTAAAAGTAAATCAGATAAAAAGGAGGGGCCAAGACCATTAATACATCTAAAAACTAATAAAAGAACCTTAAAATCAATCCTGAAACGGACGGGGAGCCAATGCAGCAATGCTAAAACTGGCGTTATATGCTCCCGCCCTCTGACCCTCGTCAGCACTCTTGCAGCTGAATTCTGTAATAACTGAAGTGTATGTAAGTTCTTCTTTGGGAGGCCAGAGAGCAGGGCGTTACAATAATCTAAACGTGAGGAGATAAAAGCATGCATCAGCACCTCCGTGCTGGCCTGAGAGAGAAACGGGCGGACTCTGGCTATATTCCTAAGGTGGTAAAAACCTACCTTTGCTATGTTTTTGATGTGTGGAATAAAACTGAGCTCAGAGTCGAAAATTACACCCAGGTTTTTTACAGATGTTGATACTTTAAAATCTTGTAGTTTTGGTGAAAGTGTCTCCCTCAGGCCTTTAGGACCAATAACTAAAACCTCTGTTTTGTCCTGGTTGAGCTGCAGGAAGTTGGCTGCCATTTAGGACTTGATGTCTTAAATGCTATTTAAAAGGGCATCAATTGGCCCGCTATCATCAGGAGACACGGCCATGTACAGTTGCGTATCATCAGCATAGCTGTGGAAGTTGATGCCGTGCCTCCTGATGATGTCCCCCAGGGGAAGCATGTAAAGATTAAAAAGAGTTGGACCTAAAATTGACCCCTGGGGAACCCCACACATAATTTCATGGGTTTGTGAGGAACATGTATCCATACTTACTAAGAAGTGTCGATCAGTGAGATAGGAAGTGAACCAGTTCAAGACAGTTCCTGAAAGGCCGACCAGGTGCTTAAGTCTATTTAATAAAATGTGATGGTCTTCTGCAGGGGTGCCCACACTTTTTCAGCATGCGAGCTACTTATAAAATGATCAAGTCAAAATGATCTACCCACTACAAAAATGCAAAACATATATTTCCCGCTCTGTCTCCTTTACCCGGTCCGCAACTTGGTTCACCCCCCATCTCCGTTCCATGAAATCCAAAAATCGACAGCTAGAAAGACTTCACAGGAAAACCGGCCTCACCATCCACAAAGACATCTTGATAAATCAGCTATCCCACTACAAGGACTCCATTTCCCATGCAAAATCACAGTACTATTCTGGACTTATCTGCTCCAATGCTTGAAAAACCAAGTCTCTTTTCTCTGTCTACAACCATATCACTCAACCCCCGGACTGCTTTCCTCCCCACATGTATTCCTCAGACACTTGCGACTCCCTCCTCAGTTTCTTCAATAACAAAATCACTAAAATCCACCAGAACCTGGGCTCCACATCCCCACCACTTCCCTCATCTGAACCTCCCCCTCCTTTCCAACCTTTTTCCACCTTTGTACTCCCTAATCCCTCAGAAATCGCTGATCTCATTACCAAATCCAAACCTTCATCCTGCCAACTGGACCCCCTTCCCACTTCCCTGGTCAAATCCTGTCTACCCTCTCTACTCCCCCTCATCTCAGTCATCATCCACTCCTCACTGTCGACTGGAACTGTTCCCACCCCCTTCAAAACTGCAGCCATCAGTCCTACCCTGAAAAAAAACCTGGTTCAGACCCCAACGACTTCAATAACCTCCGCCCCATTTCCCACCTCCCCTTCATCTCCAAAATTTTAGAAAAAACAGTTGCCTCTCAACTCCACACCCACCTCACCCACAATAGCCTCTACGAACAGGTTTCCGCCCCCTCCATAGCACTGAAACAGCCCTCATCAAGATCATCAACGACCTCCTCATGGCAGCTGACTCCGGTTTAATCTCCATCCTCATCCTCCTTGATCTGAGTGCGGCCTTCGATACCATCTCTCATCCCATCCTCCTCCATAGACTCTCCTCCATAGGCATCTCTCACACCCCCCTTCTCTGGTTTCACTCATACCTCACTGGCCGCACTCAGTTCATCCAACTCAAATCATTCACCTCACAGCCCTCCCCTGTCACTTCAGGTGTGCCCCAGGGTTCTGTCCTGGGGCCCCTCCTCTTCATTATCCATCTCCTTCCCCTCGGCAGCATCTTCCGCAAATATGGCATCCACTTTCATTGCTTCGCGGATGACACCCAGCTCTACCTCTCCAGTAAACCCGACGCCTCTCTCCCACCCTCCTCCCTCACCCACTGCCTCTCAGAAATTAAATCCTGGTTCACATCAAACTTCCTCAAACTCAACCCCGATAAAACTGAACTCCTCCTGGTCGGTACTAAGTCCACTCTCTCCAAAACTGACAGTTTCCCCCTTACCATTAGCTCACTATCTTTCCACTCCTACATCAATAACATCACCCGGTCTGCATACTTCCATCTACGAAACATCAACCGTCTCCGCCCATCACTCACTCCTCACACCACAGCTATCCTAGTCCACAGTCTTGTCACCTCCCGTATCGATTATTACATCTCACTCCTCCTCGGTGCCCCTCACAAATCCCTCCATAAACTTCAACTTGTCCAAAACTCTGCAGCCCGTATCATTACCAGAACCCCCTCCTTTCACCACATCACCCCTGTCCTTCAGCAGCTTCACTGGCTCCCTATCCAGTCCAGAATCCACTATAAAATCCTACTGTACACTATCAAGGCCATCCATAACCTTGCCCCCCCTTACCTCTCCGATATCCTCCACATCGCCACCCCCTCACGCTCCCTCAGATCCGCCTCCTCCCTCCACCTTTCTGTCCCCTCTGCCCGACTCAGCACCATGGGGAGCAGGGCTTTCAGTCGCTCTGCGCCCAAACTCTGGAACTCTCTCCCCCCGGATTTCAGAAACACGGACTCACTACCCCACTTCAAATCAAAACTCAAAACACATCTGTTCCAAATTGCATATTCCCTTTAACTGTCCATTTCCATACCTGTATATTGTTTTTATTTATTTTAACTGTGTTTTAACTGTGTTCTTAATGCCTGTACAGTGTCCTTGGGGGTCCAGAGAGGCGCTTTTAAATAAAATGTATTATTATTATTATTATTATTATTATATTTATTTTCAAATATATTGAGGATTCTTTATATGTACAATGTATAATGATGTACCTTGCAAAACCGTATGAGCCAATATTGTGCGACACAACATAATTAACTATGAACATTATTTGTAATTACCCAAGTTTACTTTGATGACTTGCACTGAATTAATTCAGCCAGGGATGTATAGTCAAGACAGTAACTGCTGACAGCCAGCCTCAAGCACACTTCCAAATGTTCATCAGTCATGGTGGAACGGTACTTGTTCTTAATGCTCTTCATGTGAGAAAAGGCTGACTCACATAATAAGTGGAGCCGAATAATGCAGTCAAGGAGGTAGCACATTTTCTCATGTTAGGGTACTTTACCTCTGTGAGTAAGTTCCAGAACTGTCCATGAGCCCTGGACTTCAGTTCAATGTCGGCTTTAAGAGTCAAGATCTCATCTTCCACTCCAGAAGAGTTCAGGTGAAACATTGTTGCAATTTTTGATGCCAGTGACTCAATCTCAGCATCTTCCCGAAAAGGATAGCACATGAATGTAGCGACTGGCTCCAGCAAAGAAAAGCCTTGAAAGCGTTCGTCAAACTCTGACAGACAATTGTCAATCAGCTCTGTGTAGCGTGCAATGTCAAGTTGCATACAGGCCCTCCCTTGCGTCTCCAGCTCTGACGCCAGGTTCTGGAAATTTGCCAAATCATGGCGCTTCAGCTTTGAGGAGAGAAGTTGCAGCTTTCGTTTGAAAGCATTAACCGAGCTGATCATATTGATCACCGTTTTGTCCTTTCCTTGCAGCTCTAGATTAAGATCATTCAGCATGTTTGTCAGATCGGTTAAAAATGCCAAATCCAACAGCCACTGGCCGTCATTTAGTTGCTTGTATTCTGCATGTCCAGCTACACAGAAAAACTCCTTAATCTGCGGACAGAGCTCTCGAAATCTTTGCAGGAATTTCCCTCGACTAAGCCATCTCACGTCAGTGTGTAGCAACAACTCAGAGTGTTCGCAGTCGGTGGATGTGCACGGAATAATTGTCTTTGAAGAGATCTGGCTCGAATAGAACAGGCGATCTTTGTTGCCACATCCATGATCTCTTTCATGTTGAGCATTTTAGTGCATAACGCTTGTTGGTGGATTATGCAATGGTAATTCAAGAAGTCAGGAAAAGCATCGTTCTGCCTGCACTTAGCAATAAATCCATTCACACGGCCAACCATTGCGGGTGCTCCATCCATGGTGATAGACACCAGTTTGTACAATGGGAAATTAGTTTTCTCTGTAAAGTTTTTGAACGACTGAAATATGTCCTCTCCTCGCGTATGTTTTTTCATGGGAAGTACTGTTAATAGCTCCTCTTTTGCAGTCATATCATTGAACACCATACGAATAAAAATGCACATCTGGGCTGTGTCACTCACGTCTGTAGATTCGTCCAACTGCAGTGAGAAATACTCACAATCTCCGATGTCCTTCCACAATTGCTGGGTTACATCCTCAGACATGGCTTCACAGCGCCGTGTAACTGTACTTCTTGACAGCTGCAGAGCTTTGATTGAAGATAATATTTCTGCCTTATTTTTAAAATGTCGGCACAATGAGTCAGCTGCTTCAACGAATGCCTCTTTTACCATCTCTCCATCTTGGAAGGACTTCTTGTTATTAATGATGATGTGACTCACACGGAAAGATGCTTCGGTGGTGGCTTTCACTTTTGAAGTATGTTGTGTGAAAAATGACTGCTGTCCGGACAACTGGGATTTTAGTTCATTCACCTTTCTCTTTCTCAGCTCGCTTTTCAGCAGGAAGTTGATGTCATATTTTTCATGAACAGTCCAAAAATGCCGCTCCACATTTCCCTTCTTTGGTATTGCGATGGTAGACTGGCAGATGAGACAAACGCACTTCGAAAATGACATTGTGAAAAAAAAGTCCTCCTCCCATCCCTCATGAAAGTGATAAGTTTTCGTCTTCTTACTTGGTCCAGCTCCCCCACTCATTTTTGATGACCAAAGCTTTCTCTAGTTTAAAGAAAAAAGCGAGGGCTTCAAATTTGCGGTAACTCGCTGACTAGCTTGTTAGTTTTGCCACACTTAGCTTCTTTGTTTGCGCATGTGTGGTGACCTAAAGGTCAGAAAAATTCAGCCATCATCTGATGCTGCATTCAATTGTACTTCGGAAAGGTAAATTAGTTTCATTACACCAGCGTCTATTTTTTTCTAATGTCATGCGATCTACTATTACTACCTTTGCGATCGACTGGTAGATCGCGATTGACATATTGAGCACCCCTGGTCTACTGTATCAAAGGCGGCGGTTAGATCCAGCAGGACCAAGACTGTGAGGTTGCGATTATCTAAATTGCACCTGATGTCATTCAAAAATTTTTAAAGGGCTGTCTCAGGACTGTGGTCTCTCCTAAAACCTGATTGGCACTGAAGGAGGTGGAGGACTGTGTTTGTTCGGACGGGAGTGAGCCGCGTGCTTCCCTCGACAATGCGCAAAAAGCGCGGACGCAGCCATTGAGGATGTTGGTGGCGAAGATAGAGGGGCGCGCCGAGGCTCACCTGAATGCCGCTGCGGTAAAGGGAGCAGAGGAGTGCATGCATCGTGGCGCACCTGTCTGCCGAGGCAGAAGTGGTGGCGCCTGCCGCTCCGGTGTGGGGAGCAGGGGGAAGTCCCGCTCGACCAGAGGGCTGAAGCTGTTGGAGAGAAGAATTCCAACGGAATGATGGCGTGGAGGGGATTTCTTCTTCAGCCTGGTGTTGCTTTTTACCGGGATCCATGGACCAGGAGTGGAGTTACACAGTTTGGGGTTGAGAGTAAAATAACCAAGAGGCACCTTGGGCTTTGCACCCTCCTGCAGCCAGCGGGCTTCGGCGCCTCTAGTCGGAGGCTGAGTCGCCGGGATGTCAGGAAGGAGATCAGCCTCAGGAGCGGTGGGGGGGCCGGGGATGTCCCATGGAGTTGAGGGATGGCTCGGGGCAACCGGGATGGTGTCGTCAAGCTTAGCTTCAGCAGCGGCACCAGTTGCTCTTGTCGTGACAATGACAGATTCCAAGAACTTTATTTCATAGATTGTTGGTGGAGGTTGGAGATGCGATCCTCCAGGTCGGAGATAGTTTGGATCAGCTGGAGGCAGCGATCACATCTGGATGGTGAGGTGAGTGGGGGCATGGTTGGACAGGAGGTATCTGTTAGCCGTTAGCTGTTAGTTGACAGCCCGTTCAGCTCAGACCGGATCCCTCCACAGACAGAGCCCTGACCCGGACCCGTCGGCTCGGTTCGGCTGAAAACCGTTCCCCTCGGAAGAGTTGGTGGGCTGAGCTTGGTGGTGGCTGCTGCTGGTCCGGGTTAGCCTTGTGGTGGCTGCTCCTTGAACTGTGTCACCCCGCTGTCTTTTGTCTTTTGAGCTGGTGTTGTCAAATGTGTGGTGAGTTGGCAGGCGACTAATTTCTCCAGGACCTTGGATTTAGATAAGCTCTTGGAGATGGTCCTGTAGTTTTGCATTGATGTGGGGTCCAGGCTGGGCTTCTTAAGTAGTGGCTGGACATCTGTCTGTTTAAAATAATACGGAAACACCCCTGAATGCAGCGAAGAGTTGATGATGGTGAGGAGCATGTGGCCCACTGTGGAGAGAACCTCTTTCAGCATGGAAGTAGGATGAACATCAAAGGACTTGAGGACATTTTCATGGAGCTGATCACATCTCTCAAGTCTTTAAGAGTGACAGGAGAGAAACTGTTCAGTTGTGGAGGAGGAACTGGACAGGAATATGAGGAATGGTAACCCTTAGGGACCAAGAAAGCTTAAATTACTGGACTGGATACAAGTGTTTCCATTCATATGATAAAGAACAACTAACATTTTCACTTTCAATTGAGCAAATCATTCCTGGACAATGAACCTAATGTGTAGACTTACTGCATGCTGGAGGAGATTATGCAGTAGCCAGGTCTGGTTACTTTGAGTTAACACAGGAAGGTCCCATGCCAGTGCCAGAGCATTCACTGCTGCCCTCTCATCCTCGGGGAGTACACTTTTCTCCTCTCCTCCATCTTCGAGCTTCCGCATCAGAAAGAAAACATGGCAATCATATATAACCACTTTAAGCCCTTTTCAGTATAAAAGCCAAAATTAAAACCTCAAAAGAAAAAAGCCCACATCTGCCACAGCTACATAAACCAAAAAATGCAGGACCAGGCTACAGAGATCAAATAATAAAAACTGTTGTTACCAATCTTATAGTCTCTCTGATGTCTATGTCTGCCACATCTTCAATGGTGATGGTGGCTGTCTGGGGTGGATTGTCCAACAGCACATGAAGGACGGCTGGGCTAACCCCTTTCAGACGAGGGCCTCCATGAAGAAAACAGTGTCCAATCATTCTTCCTGCCATGACAAATATGTCATTCTGCACTAACACTTAAGATGTGGAAGGGATTAGGTGGTCAGGCTGGCCTTCAAAGAGTGCAGTGCCACATGCATTTCCTAACGGAAAAAAACACAGACAGAACAATATACTTTAAATGTAAGAAGGGTCAAGACAGACAATTAGACAAGTCCGAAAAGACGAGTCTCAAACTTCAATATACTTTCCCAAATGTATACCTGAAATCAAAATGAATACACGGTTCTGGAAAAGGATGTGATCTGCTGATGTGATTACATTATCCCTTCCGAATCTCCTCCGCTGCTTAAACCCTTATCCTCGCCTTCATTACCACCAGACTCGATTATAGGCTCTTCTACGGCCTCCCGTCCATGACCCTGAACAAACTTCAATACATTCAGAACTCCGCTGCCCGACTTCTCACCCGCACCCGCCCCTAAAACAATATCACCGCCATGTTCCATCATCTCCACTGGCTCGCTGTTGTCTACCGAATCCAATACAAGATCCTCCTCCTCACCTTCAAGTCCCTACACAAACTCACCCTTCCCTACCTGTCTGACCTCATTGTCTGCCACACCCCAAATCACTCCCTCTGCTCAGCTGAAGCCAACCTCCTCTCACCCCCTGGCAAAACAAAACACCACACCCTTCTGTGCCTCCAGCCCCTTGCTCTGGAACTCCCTTCCCAATGCCGTCCATGAATGCCCCAACCTCAAGATCTTCAAGACCCTCCTTAAGACCCATCTTTTCACACTCGTTTTTAATATCTGACGCCTCTGCTTTTATTCCCTGCCTGTATTTTTATTATTGCTATATTGTTTAATTCACTATATGTTATATGTTTTACCCTGTAAAGTGTCTGAGTATCTGGTAAAGTGCTATACAAATAAAATGTACTATTATTATTACTGTTTTTAAGATTTTTTTTTTTTTTTTAAATTCTTTTTACCGCTTTAGTATCCAGTAGTTAATACAGCAATGCTATTCACATGGTTGACAACAAACATTTAAATCTAGGATGGATCGTCCAAAACTGTGTAGTAATAACATTAACTAGTTTCTAGTTTTCTAGTTAATTTATCTATATTCATATCTATATTAACTTGTCTTGAAATATAAATAACTTACCAAAATCAGTAATGAAACCATGCTGCACCTTGTGCATGACCATGTTTAAGAAGTGGCGGTTTACGCCATCTCCAATGGCTACATCTCCTGCAAACATAGGTTTAATGGTTGATTTGAAAAATCAAACAGATACATATATAATAATAATAATAATAATAATAATAATAATAATAATAATGCATCAGATTTTTATAGTGCTTTATCAGAGACCCTCAAAGCACTTTACATTGGATACATCATTCATTCACTCACACAGTCACACCTCAGTGGTGGTAAACTACCTTAGTAGTCACAGCTGCCCTGGGGCAGACTGACGGAAACGTGGCTGCCAGTTTGCGCCTACGGCCTCTCCGACCACCACCACACAACACTCACATTCATACACCAGTGGAGGACACACACTGCGAGCAAGGTGGGTTAAGTGTCTTGCCCAAGGACACAACGAACAGGATGGGGCTCAAACTGCCAACATTTCAGCTATTGGCCGACCGCTCTACCTCCTGAGCTACTGCCGCCCCATATATAGATTCATTACACACAAAGCGGAATATTTCTAGTCTTGTTTTTATATACTTTAATTGTAAGGATTATGGCTTCATGTAATAAAGGCTCCCATTCAATATCTAAAAGATATGGATTATTACACAAGACAAATTTTAACATGGAAATTTGGACTTCGTAAAGAACATCCCTGCTTCCTTCATGCTTACTTCCAATTGCAACATCATATTAATCCGTAAGATTTCAAGAACTCCTGGTTTATATTAAAATACCTTGTAATTTCGCTTGAAATGGTCTGGCCCAGTCAGCGTCACGAGCCTTATAAAGGTTAAATATACAGCCTTCTTGCTCCTCTACATCCTCTCTGATGTCTATTCTAATTTTAAGCATGGGCTTATCCTTTTTATTGTGCAGACACAGTTTTTAGTATCGGTCTGCAGCCTCCTCTGGGTCCACCATGCTTTTCCAGTCTGCAAAGGTAAATTCAACAGTCATTCAAAGTCACAATGAGGATATGAATATAGCCCTAATTTCTCCACAAAGTGTAATGTTACCTTCAGAATAAAAAGTTTTCCATTTGTTGGAACCAGATAGACTAAGTATGTATCTAACAACACTTTGTCTTTGAGTCCATATAGTCCAAACATGTATGTCACACCTTTTTGCAAAAATACAAATCTTAATTACTTGCGTTATGACATAATTTAAACAAACCAAAAAATAAATACATAAATAAATGCTTATCTAAATCTCTGTCGTTAACAGGAGAGGATAATGGGATCTCCTCTGTGGGAATGGCAGCTGAAGCACCTGAAGTTTCAGGAGAAGAGGTATAGGCAACATTCTTCAGGATGACAGGACAGCTTAATGCATAGCAGTTGCCATCAGCTGTTTAACCATACACTGTGAAAGGTATGTCACTGTTTTTTTTTTTTTTTAACCAACATTCAAAGTCTAATTACAGTCAAGAAATATTTCACCCGACTCTAAGTGACCTGTAGATGTTTATTATTCATGGGTAATATTGACGAAATCCAATGAGCTTTTACTTTTCTCCACAGGTGCTTGCATGTACCTCAAGAACTGATATGGGGACCTGCTCACCACAAATAGGACAGGTTTTCTAGTAGACAAGCAGTAATGGTACAACACATAAATTACACTGAACATGGCAATTTGCCCAGCAAGAGTCGTTGCAGCATTTCCTCCAATCACCATCAAAAAATTCAATTTAAATTGTGTCCACAAAGTTTTTATTGTTGTGTGGACATTACAATATTCACACACCCTTATCTTTGTCACACATCATTATCTAAGGAGTAAGGTGTGTAAGGTCTGCATAAAGTAAAAAGGAGAAAAAAAAAGACCACACAAGTTGGGTATGAATTAAAAAAGTTGTAGACCATTGAGACCAATTAGTGACAACATCTGTTGTGAATGCAGTTAGCTATCTCAATTGTTGACAAAGATAATGAAGGCCTAATTGTTTTCCCAACACAAAAACCAGAGGAAAAGATGAAGAATCACATTTGAATTGAGAGTTGACATAGGAATAGGTCTAAGTACAAAACATTATCTTGTATCTTGATTTCATGCTCTGAATAAGGCCATCAGCGTTAACTTGTGGTTGGACATGGCCAGATACATTTTTTTTATATCGAGATTTGTATTACATTAAATTGTATTAGAATCACAATCATTCCACTGCAATACTACAATATCTTTAAATTATCATGCAGCCATAATATGCTCAGAACCATGAGTTATACTTTAGTGCAGTTGGTGTGAAATGCAGCATTATGTAGATAAGAGTTCAGTGACAGCTTACCACAGAAACGATCTCGGAGTCCTCTTCATATTCATTCACATGAGAGTTAGGCTTCTTCAAGAAAAATGTAGAAAACACCACTTGTGATACTTTTTCACATGACTTTTTCAGTTGAATACATGGTGACAGTAAAATTATTGTATCAAACTACAGCAGTTATTGAAGACATTTTTTAACAAGATAACTTATCTCACCACAGGAATCAATATGAAACTGTAGTAGAGGCAGGGGAACTGAGAGTCCACATGACATGCATGCATGTCTTGGCATGTTTTGAAACTCCTCTGCATCATATGGCAGAGGAGTGGTGTCTATTTTCTCTTGTAGTGGGATTATATAGATGACATTCATCCCACTGTTTAATGAATTTTTTAGAATTTTCGCAGTGTAGCCCTCTGATCCCTGTGGCAGTGGTGTTATACGGCGTTGCCCACTTTAGGAGAGATGACATTTAGTTAAATGAAGAAGTGCTCAATCTTCCATGCAAGGAAAGTTTTTGTATTTAATGTAAAACAACAACACACATTCTGAATATTTAAGACAAAGAAACCTATAGAACATCAGCACATTTATGCTTTGTGTCAAACGTTTTAATCAACATGCAAGTGGGAAAAGTAATAAGCACATTAATTGTAAAAGGTACTGTATGTTCAGAGAGAAACTGACTTTACCTGAAGCTTTTTAAGGAGCCAGCCACCACACAGACTTCTCATTTTTGGATAATGAAGAAGCAGTGTTCTGCTTATCTGTAAAAAAGAAAAAGAAAAAAGAAACAAAAGAAAATTTAACTCTCATAGTGTGCTCTGTATGATATTTAATGTCTCTGACAGCCTATCTTATCTTGCTTCCAGAAATGTGTGATCATCAATTACACTGATTTGTCCCAGTTGTTGAAGATACACACAGATTAGGCCTTATATTGTGACAATTGACAAGTACAGTGAATAAATTAGCACCTTGTAGTGGGCGTAGTATGTTTGACTAACATTTTTCAAATTTGGTGTTTTGAAAGCTATAATATGGGAAAGCTTGAGAATGTTAGTCAGTATGTTAAGGTCAAAATGTGTGACCTGATTGCTAGATGACTGGGTAAGAGAATACCAAAAAATGTAGCGCTCTTGTTTCGTTTCCAGTCAGCAGTGGTCAGTAGGCTATCTATCAGGGATGGAACAATAATGAACAAAAGCCTGGGTTGTAGGCACCTAGACTCAGTGATACACGTGGGGAGTGAAGGCTGGTCCCTATGGTGTGATCTAACAGACAGACTAATGCTCAAATTGCAGGGGGTTAAATGCTTGGGTTATTACTGTGTTACAATAAACTGTGCATCCTAATTTGTTGTGTTTTGATAGATAAAGAGGACCAAAGGAGGAACATTACAAATACATGCCAATATAAGGCAAGTGTCTGGTCTATTCCAGGTCAGAGCAGCTGACAATAATCTCATTTAAAAAAACACAAATCTTTGTGACTGAATGAAAACTATTTTAATGCTGTATAAAAAAATATCACTTTTAATATCATCACACAGCAACCTCTACTTCTTCCAATAAGATTTTTTAAAAATGTCATTAGAACTCACATCTGTGTGTGTGGCATTGTCAGAAATATTTACTATCCTTCTCCCAAGACCTGCTTGGAGGAGGTCTGCCTCATCTTTGGGGGTTCTGTCTGTATACTGTGGCAGCAGACAGACAGTCTGTGTGCTTGTAGACAGTAAAATGGGGGTGGATCTCCTCCCTTCTTTTTCGCTTCTGACTGTTGAACATGGCTGGGAAGCACCTTGGATGAAGAGTAGGCTGTTATTAATGTGTTAAGTATATTTTTTACGACTTTAAAAAAGAGTGCAGATAAGGCATCATTTATTATTTTGCTTACAGTTCAAAGCTAGGTATGCAGTCAAGTTCCTCTGCATCTCTTGTTGCACACTTGAAGGTCTCCCAGGTGTCATGCCTGCAAGCCCAGGTGTCATCCTTGCAGGCCCAGGTGTCATCCCTGTAGGCCCTGATATCATCCCTGTAGGCCCAGGTGTCATCCCTATAGGCCCAGATGTCATTCCTGCAGGCCCAGGTGTCATCCCTGCGGTCCTAGGGGTAGGGCTGTCATGAGATTAAGGCTGCACGATATTGGAAAAAACTAACATTGCGATTTTTTTCAACTCTGCGATATACACTCACCGGCCACTTTATTAGGTACACCTGTCCAACTGCTCCTTAACACTTAATTTCTAATCAGCCAATCACATGGCGGCAACTTAGTGCATTTAGGCATGTAGACATGGTCAAGACAATCTCCTGCAGTTCAAACCGAGCATCAGTATGGGGAAGAAAGGTGATTTGAGTGACTTTGAACGTGGCATGGTTGTTGGTGCCAGAAGGGCTGGTCTGAGTATTTCAGAAACTGCTGTTCTACTGGGATTTTCACGCACAACCATCTCTAGGGTTTACAGAGAATGGTCCGAAAAAGAAAAAATATCCAGTGAGCGGCAGTTCTGTGGGTGGAAATGCCTTGTTGATGCCAGAGGTCAGAGGAGAATGGCCAGACTGGTTCGAGCTGATAGAAAGGCAACAGTGACTCAAATAACCACCCGTTACAACCAAGGTAGGCAGAAGAGCATCTCTGAATGCACAGTACGTCGAACTTTGAGGCAGATGGGCTACAGCAGCAGAAGACCACGCCGGGTGCCACTCCTTTCAGCTAAGAACAGGAAACTGAGGCTACAATTTGCACAAGCTCATCGAAATTGGACAATAGAAGATTGGAAAAACGTTGCCTGGTCTGATGAGTCTCGATTTCTGCTGCGACATTCGGATGGTAGGGTCAGAATTTGGCGTCAACAACATGAAAGCATGGATCCATCCTGCCTTGTATCAACGGTTCAGGCTGGTGGTGGTGGTGTCATGGTGTGGGGAATATTTTCTTGGCACTCTTTGGGCCCCTTGGTACCAATTGAGCATCGTTGCAACGCCACAGCCTACCTGAGTATTGTTGCTGACCATGTCCATCCCTTTATGACCACAATGTACCCAACTTCTGATGGCTACTTTCAGCAGGATAATGCGCCATGTCATAAAGCTGG